CAAAAACAACATCGGCATTAGCTGAAATACGACGTAAAAGGCGTTATTTCGTTTTTTTTCAACGGTTTTTTTTTTCTTCAAATTTGTCAAAATATCTAATATTTGTGGTGGTACACAAGTATTAGAAATCGATATATTTCAGCCGTCTCTGAACCGATTTTGATCAAACAAAGATGATTTTGTCGTTTAAATATTGTTCTTTCAAATTTTACACTCAGTTTTTCATTATCTCACATAACAATTATTTCGTGTAGCCCCCTCTGCAACAGAAATCAACTATCCCTTTAACCTTGGCACGTCTGATCCTTTTCCTTAAAGGGATAGTTGAGTTCTGTTTTCCGAACACAAATGCCTTCAAAGTGCATGGTTATTGCTCTTATTCTTATCTATGATATTTTCAATTGCCCTTTTAGAACCTAAAATTGCTACATGTATGAAGGTAATTTTAGACCCCAAAATATGTGAAATTTAGCCAATACGATCATACCAATTTTGTTCCACTTTCAACAAAAAAAGGTGACCGTTAATCAATGATTAATTAAAAATAACAATACATAGGCCGGCTGGTCGTGCGTACTATAACCAACGCGAATATGCCAACAAAAAAGCCATTGGCTGAAATATGACGTAAAAGGCGCTATTTCGTTTTTTACAATGGCTTTTTAAAATTATCTAATATTTGCAGTGGTACACAAGTATTAGAAATCGTTATATTTATGAATATTTCAGCCGTCTCTGAACCGATTTTGATAAAATAAAGATGATTTTGTTTTCCATATGTTCTTTCAAATTTGACACTCAGTTTTTCATCAACTCACAAAAAAGATTATTTTGTGTAGCGCCCTCCGCACCAGAACTCAACTATCCCTTTAACGGAACTGTTCGCCTACGCACTTCATTGTCACCAATCCCTCTCATTATAACGAGTTAATCCATTGGGTACAGGAACCAAGTGGTCCCTGTATTTTTACCTATGGGAATGAGAGAATTCAGTAGTCAAAGGGTTAAATGTGTATGAATTATTCCTTAGGTAGTGGGAATTCCCACTAATATTTACTGGATACATTTTTTTTAATTTTTTTACTTGTATTTTTTGGTTACACTTACAGTCGTAATTGTTTGTATCAGTCACTTATGCCATTCTCGAGTTATGCGTATACCTAATACGTTATTCAATGTGGGATATGTAGCCTACATTGAAACTCAACTTGGTGAAATATCTAAGTGCATTGTTAGGAACATCATAATGCTGTATCACACATAATAAAACATGTTGCCTCTCTCACCTCAACTTCCTTTTCCTTTTCCTCCATCTATTTTTCTTCCATTCTGCATGATCTCTCACATCCTAGTCTTCCTCTTGTAAACTATGCTTTTTTGTCTCCTCTCTACCATCTCGCTCTCCCTCCCTCATGTTAGAACCTTTACCTCAACTCTGTCGTGGCCGAGTGGTTTAAGGCGCTTGACTGGAAACGTCACGTAACGCCTGGCTGGAATGCTCCCCAGGGAGTGGAAATTGTGCACACATTGTGTGCGGGCAAGAATTGAATCAAATGACCGGGGTGATAGTATATCTGTAAAGCGCTTAGACACATTTGTATTAAGCGCTATATAAAAGCGGAATATTATTATTACTATTAATTCTTGCTTGGACAAATTAAATCGCCCCGATTCAGCCTCCCTCCAATTCAGACATGCATGCCAGGCTCACACGCCGCTGCATTGTGAATTCTTCTTTCCAATTTGTTTGGCAATCGTCTTGTTAGACCTGTGACGGCGTAGGATCAAAACAAACAATCATATAAATAAATAAATAATAAGATAAAAATGAATAACTCAAGAATAGAACATTTATTAAATACAAGTGCTCTCTTGTCATTTCTAATGTTTTTTTAGGGCAAAATCTTGCGCGAAGTTTGATATTTGAAATGTGAAGATGTTTTTGATGTTCTCACATATTTGAAATAAAAACCGATGGACAAGACGTTGTGTAGGGACCCCCACCCTTTACACAATTTTAGGGCATAATGCCGATAACTTATTAAGGGACCTCTAAGTTATACATTTGCCGATAACATTTAGAAATTGCCAATAGAACATTTAAGTGGGATTCGAAGAACCTACAGCTTGTCAGAGTGTACTAGTCGACGTCGTAACACAATTCTTATCATTGACACCCTGATTTTAAAAACACTGTTGTGAAACCATGGACTTATCTTTGTGACAGAGAACCGGAAAGTATTAGGGAGAGCGAGGTAGAGGTGGAACGAAGGCAAGAACTTAAAGGTACTATGTCCCATTTGCAGGCCAAAAAAATGAAAAGGTTAAATTCCAACGGCATTTGAAAGATAATACTAATTTAGAACTTCCCTTAACAACGGTGGGGCTTGAAAATGTCTTCAAGTGGGAAAATAACGACTATTAGTTGACACAATGACTTAGGAGCTATAGAGCCAATAAGTAATAGTCTTGATTTTCAGACCATTGTACTGAATGGTCATACGTTTTATGCTGCGCAAAGATTTAGTCAGTTTAATTTTGGCCATCACAAGAAGTGGGTTATTGATGTAGACAAATGCTCATGTACCCTTTACAGCTCATTTTATGTATGTTATTATCAAAGAAGAAAAGGCCAGTCAGTCAATCAATAGTGTCTGACAGTGAAGTCTAACAAGTAAACAGATTTCCTTGCATAATTTGAATATTAGGACACTGCTACCATTTAAATTTCACAGATAGGACATACATGACATATTCATAATTCCTGCAAAGTTCTACAAAATTTGAGGTTGGCTGCAAAAGGGACATAGTACCTTAAATGCGTTATAATTTGTAATTCCTCCTGTATATCAAGCATCATGTAAATAACATGCAAAGCAAGCAAAGAGAATAAGAATGAATTATGAGACAGTATTTTTAATGTAATTCACGGGCCGTATTAATTAAGTAATTATGCTGATGGTGTTCATGATTTACTCTTCTATTTATGCAGGGTTGTCAACTTTGGGGAACTGCTTCGAGGGAGGCCGTTTGCCCGCTGCTAGCTGCGTTTAGAGTACTGTTATAGGTTTAAGCTCAGGTTTTGAGCTCAACAAACTTATTGGAATAACTTAATCAAAGAAACATTTATCTTCCAGATATTTTACGAAATTCTCAGCTTTAATACCCACCTGTCATGCGGTTGAAAATGTCATCAGAAAAATATTTCTTAGAAATTTACAAAAACTATTGCGTTATATTTTGCGATTACAAGTCATATATTTGCAATATACGGCCGTGTAAATGAATTTGCTTCATTCGTATTAATTCCGTGTGTATATTCACTATCTTTGGTTTCTCTCATCTGTGTTTTGATAAAAAGAAACTCCTTTTGCCTCTGCAAATTAAACACGTTTACCAACTTAGATGGCGCTGTGTACTTCTTGGTCACGACAGGGATTAAGGTTTCCATTGCTCCTGAAGAGAGTCCAAAGATCACTCCCTTTTCCACAAAAGACTTAATCCTTGGTGAGAGTAATGAACATTGGCGAAGCTACATTTTTTTTTAAAAGATGTTTTTAATTATTTTCTCTCAAATCAAACACATACTGTACGAATCATTTTAACAAGACTGGATACATTGTACATTGATATTTTGGATTAAACATGAATTTCAATAATAACATGAACTGTATATTTCATATAATGGTCAAGAATATAAATGTAAACATACCCGTTAAACATACTCTCAACACCCTCATCCACACACTTCTACCCCACCCCCACCATGCGAGACACGACACACACACACACAAACCACCACCACCGCCCTACCACACTTCCACATATATACCACACGCTGTTCAGAACCCCCTCAGAATTCCAAAATTGGAGCGACAAAATGATATAAATAATCTATTAAACAAAAACATTGAATGAATTATTAAAACGAGGCTACAATAACCCAGTGTTACAAGCTACGGGGGGGGGGGGGCACGGAGACACGAATTTCCACGCCCAAACACACACACACAACCACACAACAAGTGAGAGCACGGGGAAAGATGAAGTAACGGAAGAAAGAACGTGATATAGCATAAAATGCGAGTATTAAACCTGAAAACAGAAACTGACTTCTAGTGTTTTTGTCCATAAACATCCCTTTTACGCCGGCTATATAATCTCGCTATCTTTACTACATTCAAATTCTTTTAACAAGGTAAAACAATCAATAATGATTATTGTGGAAGAAAAGACACTCGATATTCTTTTTGTTGTAATTACTTAAAGGTAATACAAATTTTTTGGAAATTTTTAAAAGTTTTGAAACTTAAAATAAATTGGTGCAATAAGCATTAAAACCAATTTTAAAGTTTGACGCACGCGTACACGTAGGCCACGACGCGCGCATGGACATGGGTGTGAACAAAAGTTTACCCATGACGTCAAGTTTATGCATATCAATTATCATTCAGAAATGACAATGTATGACGGAAATATGGTCAATAATATAAATATCTGGAAAAGCTTTTTCCACAATGAAATGCATATAAACCAACACGTGGTCTCGTAAAACTACATACTGGTTTAAGCCTCGTTCGTTTGACTGGGGTAGTCCTACTTATTCCGTGATTAGGGGTGATTAGTTATATGATGAAATTGTGTGTGTGGACGCTTACTAACGATACGTCGTGTAACGAAACGTCGCATAACGAAACGCGGGTTTGGGCTTCGTTTCGAACTAGAACTCAATAAAGAATCACGCCTAATCACGCCTAATCACGGAATGTGTTGTGTGTGGACGTAACTAGTATAACTAGTCGAACTAGAAAGGTATAACTGGGCGGGGCTTAACGTGACCTCGCGCGAAAGGAGACCTGACCTGTCATTTCCGCTTCCTTTACATGACCGCAGTATAGCAAACTGCGCACGTATACGACGTTTCGCTGTAGAGTTTCGGGATTACTTTCTTGTGTGTGTGGACACCCTGGAATTTATACGTCGTTTCTTGTGTGTGGACACCTGGAATTTATACGATGATTCTTTTTACGACGTTTCGTTATAGAGTATCGGGATAAATTGTTTTGTGTGTGGTCACGCTGTCAATCACCGATGATAGCGAGTAGAATGTCCCGATAGTTGCCTGATGTATCCGAGGAGATCCAGTCGCGAAGAGATACGCCGTACATCTGCTGGAACTCTGACTTGATGTTTTCTAAATCAATCTACAAAGGAAAGACAATAAGGAAACGGAAAGAAAATAATAATAAACGCTATAAAAAGACGATGTTCATTCTTAAAACTGGCACTCATCTCTATTAGGTATAGTACTGTATTTGCATGTTGAATGAACTTGGATGTGAATTAGTGAATCTTCATTGACAAACTTGGAGTAGTCAATACAGAACGTCATCAAATCGTCCGAAAGAAGAAGAAGATTATTTTTAGCAGATGGCAAATGAATCTGGAAAAAACAGATATATGGCGTCATTAATGCTGTGACTCATAATCATCATCATCATCATCCTCATCCTCACCACCATCATTGCATGGGCATGTATTATACACATACTCTCTGCTTACCTCGCATCTGGAGACGATCACACGAATCAAAGTATCGTCATTGGTTCCGACCCCCGACATCGCTTTGTGAAGTATGGTGGCGTTAAAGCGAACGTAGTCAGTGCAAATAGATACTGAAGAGAAGTTGAAACAAAATTGTCAAATCATACAGTATACTCAAAGGTGCAGTGGCGGGTCCGTGGGATATGAGGGGCTGCATGGTGCACCTTTTCAAATCTCAATCGGGCATAATAATTAATACTAGTAAGTACACAATAATTATATTCCACTAATTTTGGTCCTGTGCCCCCAACTCCCAAAAGCACCTCAAATGATGCGTATTTTCCTCCCCTCTCCACTACCCTCTCTCTCTCTCTCTCTCTCTCCCCCCCCCTCTCTCTCTCTCTCTCTTACCCTCTCCTATTTTTAAATGGGGGTCAGACATTTATTAGAATTCTGCCCCATTTGTCTACAGAATCGTGGATTCGACATTTGAAATAAGTAAATTTAAGTAAACCCATGAAGAGCAGGGGGAAAAAAAGTTTGCCGCCTCTTTTTTTTCATAAAATGAAAGCCGTCATCTACGATATTATAGTCATTTCAACCAATATTATGATAGCGACATCCCCCCCCCCCCCATTCCCCCTCCCTACCTCCCCAGGACCATTCACGTGAATATTTGTATAATGCTTGGATCAGAAGGAAAGATATGGAATCGTTGGACATACCTACAGCCACGAAGCCATCTTTCTGTTCCGTCGTCATATTACTATCCTTGATTGCCTGGATGATGTCGACACCCTTCTCGCTCATCGACTACCATGACGATGTCCATAAAAAAAGAAATAATGGAATCGATGCTGAGATTTTATTTTGTAAATACTGAGTACGGTATGCATGGAATAAGAAGCTGCAAGTCCTCTTCTTCTTCTTCTCCTTCTTCTTCTTCATCTTCTTCTCATACTTCTCTTTCTATTTTCTTCTTCTCCTTCTCCTTTTCTTTTTCTTCTTCGACTTCTTCTTCTACTTTTTCATCTGCTTTATGCCTTCTTCTTCTCAACTTTTTTCTTTTTCTACTTTTATTGTTTAGTATGGCCCTATTAAAAGAACTCTTTTAATCCCGAACATGCATACCCTATTAGTCCATGACCCCCACCCCCCCCCCCCCATCCCGTTATTTTGTTCTCCCGAAAATAATGTGAGATCTAAAGTGCACTATATATATGTAACAACTGACCCCCCCCCCCCCCTTAGTTTTGTTTCTCACTTAAATGTTTTACCCATCACAATACCGAAACCTTCCCTCTCACGCCCACGATCATCAGATGTAAGTGTCGTAGTATAGTGGTTCATTCACTTGACTCTCAATCCAAGAATCAAAGGTTCGAACCCCCATAATCATCTGTTGTCACCATCCTGTTTATAATCCAAAGAGACTCGATCCTCCGATAATAATCAATAACTACCTGTTTCACCCTCTTGAAGACTTTTTGAAGATGCTGCACGCTGTCCCTGATCAAAAGATCTTCAATCCGTGCATTGGGAAGTGCCCAATCATCTATTGGTGTCTGCAATATTAAGAGAAAGTAAACGGTGTCCGGGTCAGATACAGATTGGGGCGGTCTCCCCATTTTTGTCGCTTGTGGTTGTTTTTTGTAGTTTGAAGTCAACGCCCCCCCCCCTCCAAAAAAAAAAAATATGATGAAATTATATCCTTCCAATCCTTCACCCCTTTCCTCTCTCCTTCTCTGTCTCCCCCTCCCCCCCCCCAAAAAAAAAACCCCACCTCTTTCTCTCTCTCTCTCTCTCTCTTTCTCTCTCTCTCTCACTCTGTTTTCTCCCTTCCTCCCCTTTCTTTCTCTTTCTCTCTCTCTCTCTCTCTCTTTCGCTTCACCTGGATTGAGAATGGCAAAGAATAGTGTCTTGCTAAAGGACATCCGCTCCGCTGCGAGACTCAAACCATGAATCATGTGATGCACAGTCCGATGCTGTATCTAAAGCAGGTCGGGAAAATGATAATCATCATCAATTTTTAGCAGTTTCTATTTTAATTATTGATATCATTTTAAAGTTTAAATAAATTTGCTTTAATTTATTGCTTACCTCCTCTAGATATTGCACATCTTGATCGACTTTATAGCTATCGATGCATGCCGTCTCATGGCGCTGTCCCTAGAGAGAGAGAGAGAGAGAGAGCGCGCGCGCGGGAGAGTGAGAGAGGGAGAGTGAGAGAGTGAGAGAGAGAGAGAGAGAGAGAGAGAGAGAAATTAATACCGACCGATAACTTAAAGCTTATCAGTACTAGTTTACAGGAGGGATTAGACCGCCTTGCAAGGTCACTGGACAGTTGGTTATCTCATCAAATCAGCTCTCAGTTAACATAAGAAAAAGAGGATCATGGGGGACCAATGGTCACCGATTAGGCATTGTTTGTTATATAGAGGGCGCAAGTAGCTACAAGTAAAGCAGTGGGCCTTTAAACTCAATATCTCTAGCTCCAAAGTTCGGGGGGGGGGTAAAAAAAAACTATGTAGCACAAACTACCTAAGCCTATAAAGAAATATACATACAAACAAAAGAACAACAACAACAGCGACATCAAAAGCTGAAAATCAGCAATAGGTGTAACATTCAATAGGCATAAACGCTAACCCGTGAAATATTATATTGTAGTATTAATGACTGCTTTGAGAGAAATAGTTGTTTTTCTACGCTCAAGGGAAGGTTGCAATTGTGCTATTGCCCGAGGCGTGCCGAGGGCAATAGCCCAATTGTATTAAACCGAGAGCGTATAAAAACAACTATTTCTCGAATATTAAAGCAGTCATTAATACTTTTATATGCCGAAAAAAAAGAGTCAACTTATGACACCACCTTGGCCTTTCTCTATCTTATCTGCACGGTTGTTTTTTATGAGTGTATCTGTGAGAGTAGACTAGATCTACATTCTAGTCTAAGCAAGATATTTTACAATGTTGGGGGTGGGCCGGCCCTGTGGGGAATATAGAGAAAAACCTGCGCTTTCATATGACACCTCACTTATTGAGTATCACCTTCAGGATCACGAGCAATATTAGTTTGAATCTCTGGTAATTAAAACATCGACCAATTTAGCATGAGTGCGCAATGGCCAATGCATAGGGATGTGTATAATCTCTACGGGAAGGATTTTAGCACTACTAGAATCTAGGCCTAGACCTACTAGATCTATTTTGAGAAAAAAAATAATGGAGAATTACACGTAGCCTTTTTGGTGTTCTTGTTGGCAGCAAGTCTTGCATTTGATCATCATCAAGAAGTTGAAATCTTGGAAGAGTTTCTTCAGCCATTTTTGCCTTGTTTGGATCGAGATTGCCGTGTTAAAAATACCGACCAATTCTTCGCACACGTATTAAAAATACCGACCAATTCTTCGCACACGTACGGTATCCGCGATCGCTCAAACCATTTTTTAACATGTGAACCTATGGGTATTTCACCAAGACTGAACTATTTCCCCGGTAACCATGGTAACTGGAATTTTGCCGGGATTTTACTCTAGAACTATTACACGGGTTTGGCATTTTTCGTTTATTTACGGGAATTGTTAAAACCCTGACTGCAATTTCGACCAATCAGATGGCTGGATTTCTTAAGTGAGGTATATAAAACAAATTAATATACATGAGTTATGTAACTATTTGTATGCCTCACAAAAAAAAAAATTCTGTTGCCGCATTGTATTAGCCATGGGATAGATATACCAAAGGCATCAAGATTTTTTGACTGTTTCCAGTGCAAGATTAATTTATACTGGTGTTAACCCGTCAACTTCTGAATTATCTAATTACCGTAGGCCTAATATAGGGACCACTCGGCTCCCGTATACAAAGGGTTAAAAGAGTTGTCATTGAGCTATTCAAGACCGTGCATTTTTCAAAGCCATTGTTTTTTAGCACAACGCACTCCTAGCGTTAGTTGCTTTATATTTTATGTGCAAAATTGTACGTTTGGCAAACGAACGACCGTACAGATACCTTGAAGCGAGCATACAAAGTGTTAAAGATAAAGACCAGTTATGGTCATGCGATTGCATTGTGAAAGAAACGTTGTGGAATCGATCAGAAAAGGTTGATCATCTAGCATTTAAGTATTGGTGTGTACTGCAAGGCTCTGGAATCATCAAAATGATAAGAAATTTGGCCCTGTCTTCGTAAAGTTACAAGCACTGTACACAGAAATATGTATATGGGACTACGCACACGTGCGCGACACGTGCGTTTATCTCTCACACACCAATATATAAACTAATTTACCAAATATATCAATTAGTAGGCGGTTTTCCGGCAAAATTATTATCATCATGTATTAGTCAAAACGTACTCTTTCACATGATTGGTAATAAGAGCTTCCATTTCATTTTTTGTAATTGGGCGTTTCCAATACTGGTCTTTACCTTTAATGTTTATAACAGCATGATGCAAAATATACGAAAGGGTGTGAGGCAGGGGGCGATAGATAGATAGATAGATAGAGCGAGAGAGACAGAGAGAGACAGAGACAGAGACAGAGAAAGAGAGAGAGACAGAGAGAGGGAGAGCAAAGAGAGGGTGGGGATCGAGCGAAAAAAAGAAAATGCAGAAAATAGGAAAGCGCTTTACCATCTCAACATTAATCAGGATTAATTTCCAAGGGCCGAATACATTCAGGGTGATGTCTTCATCCAGTATGGAACCAAAAACTGCAGAGAGTAAGAGAGAGAGACAGAGACAGAGACAGAGAGACAGAGAGAGAGAGAGAGAGAGAGAGAGAGAGAAGCAAGTAAAAGCACACTATTGCTTTTAACACCTCTATAATTCACATTCTTAAACAAAATGTAATATATATATATATATATATATATATCTATATATATATATCAAGTTGTGTAAAGTTTTCCAATGATGACTTTTGGTTGTTGGTTATGTATGTATACGAACCCTTGGGAGACAGCTCATGACACATAGACTAGAATAATTATCTTTTTTGGTCCGCTCTATTTTGCAATTTTTTGTTTTCCCTTATTTGTATGATTTCATTTATACAAATGAACTCATTAAAATAGAGTAAAGGTAAAAGTTTGCTTTGATTGCCCTTAACCAGCAAGGCGACCCATCCGATGCATATTGGACAGATTGATATTGGAGATGGAACTTGGTTGATTGTAATCGTTGTATACACGGTATAGCTACCAGCATAATTACATTATTTTGTTATTCTTCCAATTGACCTAAGTTATGCGGGTAATAAGAGTATTGGATAAAGCTATTTCTCAAGTATAATAACAAAAAAATATAGAATGTAAACGAACACACCACATCTCGATTTCAGATCCTGTTCGATTCGTCTTCTTCCCCCCCCCCCCCCCTCCTCTCTCTCTCTCTCTCTCTCTCTCTCTCTCTCTCTCTCTCTTTCTCTTTCTCCTTCCCTCCCCTCTCTCTCTCACACACTATCATTCTTTCTATCTCTCTCTCTCTCTCTTTCTCTTCTCTCTCCTTCCCTCCCCCTCTCTCTCTCTCTCTCTCTATCTCTCTCCTCCCCCCTCTATCTCTCTGTTTCACTTTCATGTCTTTTCGAGCCCGTATCTCGATCGTCCTAGGTTTACGTCTTGTTGGTGTAAGTCGTTTCCTCCTTATCTTCAATTACTTACCTCCGTCATTTCGAAACCCCAAATAGAAAAGAATAATGTTGATAGTAATTGATTTCAGTCAATGAAAAAAACCATTAGAAAATATGTTTTTACCTTGCTGGTAAACTTCCTTGATGTAACTTGTTTCCTGTAATTATAAAGCGAAAGTGAGATAAGTAAATCAAGTCTTAAATTAATTTATATTTGCTTGTTTGTTTGATTTTATTTCTGCATTTTTCAACATAATACATAGTAATATACAAACTAGGTACATATATCATTAACACAAGTTTAAATTCATATATAATCATATGATAATTTAAATCAATTAAATAATTATACCTTTCCCCAAAAAAAATAAAGTTGAAAAAACATTACAAAATTGGAAGAAGAAACAAAAAATTATATTGATAGTTTTAAAAGATCATTGAAGTGAGTTCTGTCCGGGAATGTTTTAATAACCGTCTCAACTAAGTAACAAAAAATTACTGAAGAATATATTGAATGTGATCACTTTTAGAGATTAGAAAATCAATAATGGGATGAAGAGGTAAAGTTCCATGATGATATTGCATGGGCAGATGAGGAAAGAAGGGGGAAATTGCTTGTAACATTTTCGTTTGTGTGTGTGTGTGTGTGTGTGAGTGTATTTTTTTAGGGGGAGGGGGGAACAAACTTTGAAAAGGGGCACAACATCATTATGGTGGAGGATACATTCTCTGGTGTGTAACTAAGGTATTGCAAGATCAGGCTAGGACACTTACCCCCTAAACAATGGCCCCTGGCCAATTACAAGGGAAAAAATTGTCCTCCAAGGACAATTACCCCCTGCTTTTATAAAAACCTATTATCAGGAAAGACTACCCTTTAATGGACTGGGGTGGGGATTTTCAGGTGGAGGGTAAGTGTACTCGGGACGTTGTCGTGGGGACAATTATTGTCCTATGGGTAATTTTTAGGGATGTGGGTTAATTGTCCCGGGGTGGGGTAATTGTTCACGGGGGGGGGGGATAATTGTCGTAGAGGGTGATTGTCCTGGAAGGGGGGTAATAATCCTAATGGGTAATTTTCAAGAGCGGGAGGGGGGTTAATTGTTCTAGGTGTAACTTCCCACGGGGGAATTATCCTATAGGGGGTAATTTCCGGGGGTTATTGTCCAGGGGGTAATTGTCCTGTACGTTTAAAAGGGGACACCTGCCTCTTGCAGCGGCCTGCGGCACCTGTGGATATTATAGCCCCAGATGTTTCTTAGACGACACATTTTATAATAATTATGACAGACCAATGCTTTTCATCATGCTCACCCCCCCCCCCCCTCCTGTACAGGTGTTATGGTCTAGTGGATAAGTCACCCGACTGCAGATCACAAGGTACAGGGTTCAAGTTCCGCCAATGTCCTTTGGCAAGAAATTAATCTACATTTGCCATTCTCCACCCAGGTGTAAATGGGTATACCTGAGCTCGGCTCGGCTCGGCTCGGCTCGGCTACAGCAAGGTAATATGTGTAAAGCACCATGAGCGTCAGAGCCTGCCGGATACCGGCGCTATATAAATATCCATATTATTTGTTATTCTTATTTAATCTATACAAAAAAAACTTGTCAACGACCTACCAAGTAATTCAAAGGAAAGATGATTTCAAGAAGGCGAAGTCCAAGGTCAGTCGGGAGCATGCTCGTATTCTACACGAGAAAGACAGAAAGAAAAGTTAACTAATTTGTGTCTGTTAATTGCTGACAAAAACATAAATAAGAGTTTCTGTATTTTCTCCTACCCCCTCCCCAATCTCTCTCTCTCTCTCTCTCTCTCTCTCTCTCTCAGATGATTATCTATCTCTTTCTTCCCACTTTATTACCCAATATATATTACCATTTGAATGAGTCATTTTTTACCGATAACGCATATGCCAATTCTTTGAAATATCAAAAGATGGACACAATGGACTCATCATAGCTTTCACGGATCGCCTTTAAGTTGTTGGTGAACAAAACATCAAATTCCTTTAAAGCCCGTCGGTACTACTTTGGCCAGGAGGGATTGGACCACCCAGCATGGTCAGTGACAGGTGGTTATCTTATCAAATCAGCTCTCAATTAACATAAGAAGAAGAGGATCATGAGGGACCAATGGTCACCGATTAGGCATTGTTTGCTATATGGAGGGCGCAACTAGCTATAAGTAGTGCAGTTGGGGCTTTAAATTCCTTTAATAAGCACTTACCGTAGCGTATTTATGAACGGCCTTAGCAAGGTGCACAGCGGGCTCGTCCAGTATGCCTTCCACGACACTGAGAAAGTTACCGCTCAGTTCAGACTTCATGACGTCCAATAATTCCTTCGAATGAAAATAGTTATGATGAATCTTTGTGGACGATACACAAAAGCGTACAGAAGACCAGCACAAGGAGGGGAACAGGGCACTTTACCGTCCCCCATAGTTTAGGTTCCCTACTAAGAAAATCCGCTATCCCCGGCTCTGCTTCGTTTCCTTTCTTCTTCTTCTTTTTCCTCTTCTTCTTCTTCTTCTTCTTCTTCTTCTTCTTCTTCTTCTTCTTCTTCTTCTTCTTCTTCTTCTTCTTTTCTTCTTCTTCTTCTTCTTCTTCTTCTTCTTCTTCTTCTTCTTCTTCTTCATCTTCTTCTTCTTCTTCCTCTTCCTCTTCCTCTTCTTCTTCTTCTTCTTCTTCTTCTTCTTCTTCTTTTCCTTCTCCTTCTCCTTCTTCTTCTTCCTCTTCTTCTTCTTCTTCTTCTTCTTCTTCTCCTTCTTCTTCTTCTTCTTCTTCTTCTTTTTCTTCTCCTTCTTCATCATATTCTTCTTCTTCATTCTCTTCTTCTTTTCCTTCTTCTTCTTCGTCTTTATATATTCTTTTTATTCAATTTCATTCTCGTCACAATTTACTTATTTTTCTTCGTAATGTACTTCTTCTTCTTCTTCTTTTTCTTTTTCTTCTTTTTCATCATCTTCTTCTTCTTCTTCTTCTTCTTCTTCTTCTTCTTCTTCTTCTTCTTCATATTCTTCTTCTTATTTTCTTCTTCTTCTTCTTCTTTTTCCTCGTCTTCTTCTTCTTCTCGTCCTTCTTCTCCTCCTTCTTCTTCTTCTCCTTCTCCTTCTCCTTCTCCTACTTCTTCTTCATGTATTATGACTTACCTCATCATACGCTAACACGTAAGCCTCGATAATGTCTTGACGTTGTGAGTTCGTCCGCTTTGTTAGAATCTCGGTGATCACTTTCTCTTTCGTGCCTAGATGCATATAAATGAAATTTTACAATTTAGTTGCTTTATTCGTCTATGTAGACGGTCGCTATTGTGCCACACGTGAAATGTTGCACATTACAAACAGCACCAATTGTGGTGCATAATTATAAAGAGTTAAACGTAATTATAAAACTATTTTAAAGTTCCTAGATATTGATTAAAACCCTTGTGACAAAAGGTCGATGACTAGTGAACATAATTATTCTCCACCAGTGGTATAGCCGAAGGGGGCTTGTAGATGCCCCCCCCCCCCCCTCCCCGCCCCTTCACATAATAAATCAATGTTTAGTAACATTGCCCAAGTCCTGTGCTCCATCACATTTTTTTGTTGTAAATCTCGATCGGTTTGCTTTCATGAAAAAGTATAAATGCAAATAAGCACCACATCTTTGTATTTCCTGTAACTACGTAACTGACAAATATGTTAAGAAACACTTACCAAGCCCTTGTGTAGCTTCAAAGAGTGCCTTCGTGTCGGCATCTTTATCAAATGGTTCTGCAGGGGAAATGGTTCCCGACGTCTGTTTTTGTTTGAAAAGACAAAGTAACAAACAAAAAAATACATACATGAGCCCACCAACCAAACAAACAAACAGAGAAGATTGTACGTTATCAATGTATACGCACGCGACAGGTTCTAATTCCTGTTCTGTCAATTTATTAATGGAGTATCAGAGCCCCCCCCCCCCTCTTCCTTGCCCGACCCCTCAGCAGATGAATCGACACTACTCCTTTGTATACCACATACATATATTAAATTATAAACTTCTTCTTGTCAGAACTGTACTCATGCAAGGAAACCCGAATAAAAGTTGTCAAAATCTATAGTGCTCTTTAATAGTCTGTACACTAAACTCACATTCCATATGTATTACAGCCAAAAAACAATAGCTCGTCATGATTAAAACAATCCCATATTCATTTTGAGATGCTAATTATTTTGGTAATCCGAAATACACTACACGTTACTGGCCTAAACAAAAGAATGATGATCATTATAGCGAACTCTGTAATTTACGGACATTTAACCCTCTTTTATAAAACGTTCAAAATATCCACATGTGTACATTTAAAAAAATCATATTCATGGTATGATCAAAAGCATTACGTGCTTAGTTTACTAATAACAATTATCGAAAAGGTTCTTCCTTCGAATCATTTACAGTTAACGTAAAAGACTTACTTCAATTTCGCTTACCTGCTCTGCCATCTTTTCGGTCGATTTGAGCTGTGTATTTTTTATGCGGGTTGTAACATGGTAACTTGCTACATACTGGTGAGGTATACTTTTTGTATTATCATTGTAATACAATGATAATACAAAAAGTATACCTCAATGCATACTATGCATTTATAGATGGTTATGGTTATTGATAGTGCGTGTACTTGAGCTCATACATTCAAAGACAAAACCATGAAACTATATCCGTGTTTAGAAGACAACGGAATAAATTGTATAGTAATGTTCAATGCCACGTATGGTATAACGAATTTTGAATGAGTGTGTGAGGCCAAGCCTGTGAGACAGGAGTCTCTGAGCTAGGACACAATACAATGACCGTGGCCAGGAGCGGTGATCGGGGGGGGGGGACACATATCCCCTCAATTTGTTAAGGGGGGATCGCCCCCCCCCCCCCCCAGACGGACAATTTGAAAAAGGTTATAGCAAATACTGACTAAAGACTGCAACAAACTTTAAGGCTCTGGAGGGCCCAAGAGTGCAAGATATCCTTCAAAGTGAAAGTAAAATATTGTAGAAAAGTGATATTGCTTGTTTTTAAACTATAGTTTTGCTAAGGAACGTAAATTTGTAATACAACAAAATTTCTAAAAAAAAACGGTGAGGGGGTAGTCACTTCCTTCACCTTCACCTTCACCTTCTCGTTAACTATGCTCCCTCGCACTGGTGTAATGATGGGAGGGGGGCTTGGGGCAGTTGCCCCCAAATAAAATTCAAATGTGGTTTATTTCTAATTCGCAACCAGCTAGTGATTTACAAATGTTGCTGAAATGGCATGGTTTTACCCTGAGCTTCCGGGGGCTCTGCCCCCTGGACCCAACCAAAGGCCCTAAGGGCCGTAATTAAATGCCTTAAAAACCCTCAGCTTCCGGGGGGCTCCGCCCCCTGGATGCTCTTCTGACTTTAATTAAATGCCTTTAAAAACCTGAGCTTCTGGGGCTCTGCTCCCTGGACCTCATAAAGGGCCCCACGGCACCTCCAGGATGCTCATCTGATCGTAATGTAATGCCTAAAACCCCTTAAATTCTGGGGACTATGCCCCCTTTATCCCACTCCAATTAGTTACCTGCATGCTTGTGTCACAAATATGGTATTAAAATATGCTCATCCGACCGTAATTAAATGCCTTAAACCCTGGATGCTCATCTGTCCTTTATTAAATGCCTAAAACACGTGAGCTTCATGGGGTTCCACTTGCTTCGCTCTACCTGATCGTAAATACTTTACCCCCCCCCCCCCTCCCCCCCTCCCCCCCCCCCACACTTTGAAAGACGTTTCGCGGGGCCTGCATCATCATGTGGGGTGATGCGGATTGTGTCTGCCCCCCAAAAAACGTTGTGCTCATTACGCCACTATTCCCTCGTCCCTCGCATTTCGTACCCCCGGTCATGAAAAGAAATCGCCGCCCCTAGCTGACCATGGCTAAGTCCATATTGACCCTGTTTTGGAGGCTTTTTTGACATAGCGAGAACAAAATAAAAACACGGGCCATTTCTTGCGACTAGAAGCCCTTATTCAAATTGGGTGCCTCCTTGAGCCCCTCCCCCCTCCCCCAACAACACAACTTCCTTCATGAGCGGTGGCCATTCTCTGGAGAAAAAGATAACCGTAGCCTATACTGATGAAAGAATATAACCTTTATACGTATCATTCTAACAATGATAGGACCGCCCCTTCCAGCTCACCCCTTCCCCTTCCGCCCCAATGCTGATATTCCTCAAATCATCTATGCTAAGTTTAAACTAATGGTATAATTAAGGACAGATCTACAGGTCTCTAATCACAATTGATGAGTTTAGAATTGCAGATATATGTTTCAAGTTTGAAGTTTTATTTCATCTCAAATTCATAAAAACACATTATATGAAAGTATAAAATACAGATTATATATATATAAAACACACAATAAACACAAATTGGAAACGTGTCAACAAATATATCACAATTATACAAAGTTGATCAATAGAAATGAATTAGGATACTGCAAATAAAACTGTAAGGTTCTGTCGAGGCAGTCCCTGTTATTTAATGGTACATAATATAAGTTCCAACAATTGCCTTTAAAAAATATAATAATTTAAACAAAAACAGTCTACAAAACATAGTGGATGCATTAACAAGCGTATATTATTATTGATTTAAAAACAGATGAAGTATGTTTAAATTTTTGATTTCAAAAGATTTTAAAAAAGTAGAATCACGGATATATCTGAGAAGAGAATTCAAAATGTTGGGGCCAGCGTGTCTAAAAGTAAATAAAGAACTTTTATGAATGGCGTATCCATATTTTCTCTTCTTGGCCTCTCCCCCGTCTTCATGCATTTCTTCTTTTTACCCTCCTCGTCGTTTTCCATTTCTCCTCCTTCTCTCCTTCCTTCTCCTTTTCCTTCCTACTCCCCGGTTTTTTTCTTCTTCGAATTCTCCTTCCACTCCTTTTGTTTTTCTCATCCTTTTTTTTTTAATTCTCCATCTTCTTTTGTTCTTCTTATTTTTACCCCTTCCAACGTTCCTTTTCTTCTGCAAGCCGACATAACATAACCATCTCAGAACATTAGTATTCATCTTCATAAAGGAAATAAAATTGTGCTGGTACTTGCTCTCCAAGACTATAACCATTTTCACATGATATAGTGTTATGGTATTCTTGTTCTTCCTTCAGTGTTTTCTCCCTCTCTCAATTTATATTTCATATTTAATTTTTCAAGTAATTGATGCTCTCTTTACATTCAGATGTTAATCATCTTCATCCATCCTTGGAATCCCCTTTCCTCTCCCTGTCGTTCACGCCCCCTCTCTTTCTCTACATCCTCCTTTTCTGTCCTTTCCCTCTTACCTATCCATCCACTTCTATCACCTTCTTTCTTTCCCTTTCATTAATGATTTCTCTATATCATTCTCTATGTCATTCTCTCTCTCTCTCTCTCTCTCTCTCTCTCACTCTCTCTCTCTCTCTCTCTCGTTCACCTGTCAGTATCTTTTTCCGCTTCCTTCTTTCATTAGATCAACAGCTCTCTCTCTCTTCATCTCTGCCTTTCTACATAATTATCGTGATGTCCTTCCACTCATGCAGACATTCACCAGAGCCATATATACACAGAGTTTGGCCAACTTGGTTTCAGCAAAGAGATCTCTGTGGTTTCAGTTGGTTACAACATGGTGCATATTAGTTTCTTTTGTCATTGCCCAACAAAGCAATATTTATCAAAATTGAACCGGGCAGGCCAAACTCTCTTTATCGATGGCACTGATATTGACATCTAACAAATGCCCTCTTATACATCAGTTACACCAACGAGACCAACACCATACCAAAAACAGATATTTCCATTACCCAAATAGCCAAAAGTTTGTCGGTTTGGTGTGGCGTCGGTTTGGCGGTGTGACCGCGGTATCACCATAATGCTCTGCAAAAGTCTTTGAAACAAATGGCACATGTTTTCATTAGAACTCATCAGTACAATACAAAATATTGCAATAGACCATGTGTGCAGTCGTTAAAGTATGAATCGTCCAGACAGACATGTTTATATTTACAATTTTACATTTTCTGGTCATAAAAGATGGACAACAAAATTACAAATGTTTTTAAGTGAACCATTCCCACAAAAAATATCAGCAGACATTTTTAACATGATCTTGTATTATAAAAATGGGCTCAAACAGTGCGATTGATACAAGTAAAGGTTCAAAATTAAAAGATGCATGGACAGGCTAATTTAATAAGCGAGTTTGTAATTAGGATTTGCGCATGGGCAAATCAAGGTCATTCGTACCCAAATTGTAAAACCATTGAGACGAATACTCGGATCGTGCTAATGAAAGTTATGTAATCAGTATTCATTTATGCACCAACAGTACATTTATCTGATACACAGATGGAAGTATTCTTCTCAAGAGGCAAACAAAAGGTATTCATGAAGAACATCCATCACTTCGGCAGTGATTATTCTAAAATGCACACGTGGGAAGTATCCATCGTGTCTAAGATCTGTGGATATTTTGGGGTCATGCGTTCCAGAGCTATTTACGAACTCGCTTATTGAAAAGGCTCACATCCAAATTGATATTTCTGGTCAAGAAAAATATATTGGGAGAGGGGGGGGGGGTGATCTCCAAACGCATTTGCCATAGAAGGCAGGGAAACAAGGAAATAGTAACTCTCAATTGGCTCTAGACCATAACTTGAGATTGGCACATTACAATGTTTGAAGCATACTTATAATGACACACTGTCTGTACACGTGAGAAAAGATATAATTAGTTACAGAAGCAATTCCTTTTAGTAAGTACAGTCTCTTTCAGTACAAAGTCATGAACTATATACATGCCACACAAATAATCTCCATGCCAAATTATAGTTATCATGGGATAGATACACCAAAGGCTTCAAGATAATCAACCTTTTTACAATGCAAGAATAATCTATACTATACCAGTGTTAAAAAGGTTGTCATGGAGCTAATCAAGACCAGGGACCCGTTTCACAAAGCCTTTTTACAATGAAAAATTACAAAAATCAGTGAAAAATGTGCTGATAACCAATCAGAAGCAAGGATTTCAGTAGCTTATAACAAAAACTGTCATTCAGCACTGATGACCAGTTTTGTGAACACCCCCCAGAAATTGGTAATTTTGCAAAGCCATTATGTTGCACACAGCGACCCTTCATCAATTAGTGCCTATTGTTTTGTGCGAATTTGCATGCATTTGTGTGGCAAACAAGCAACTATTCGGAGACGCGAAGAAAGCATCCACAATGTTAAACAACAACACGATCAACAAATCATACAAATAGGTTTCTAAGGCTAAACTTTGCAGGTCTATGTGCATCTACATGTATGGTAATTCTAGATGATGCATTAACTCCCTTCTTCATGCAGGAAGCACGAACAGATGAACAAACTCTATCCAAGCAATCATTTATTCCAATTGCCTTCCTCTCCTTTGCAATGCATTAGAAATACATGTATTTTGAGAAAAAATATTTGAGTACTTTACTACTTTTCCTGCACATATGCAGTACAGTTAAATAAGAAAATGTTTAATATGTAAGAGAAGG